GTTTTCCTTCATCAGAAAACAGACTGATGCGATCCCACGGGTAATCAAAAGATGTTCTGCACAGTGCAGCCAACATGCCCTTCTCTGCCTGCTTTATCTCTGAAAGCAGCTCAGGCTGGAAAGGAGATACGGGGGGAGAATGGTGTAAGTGCAGCCGGGAAGGCCGTGGCTGTCAGGCTGGAGCTGGCCTGGCAGTTAACTCTTCCTGGGGGGTGAAACTGGCTTGCATCCTCGCAGCTTCATGGGCTGCATGGCTGCGATAGCTTGGGTTTTGGATGGTGGTGACTGGGCCCAGGGCACCAGTGAGGTGTTGCTCTTACTTTTGGGAGTGTCCGAGGTGCTGCAGCTACACCGGAGCATAAATAAGAAGAAATTTGCTTTACTAAATGGACTTTAAAGTAGAAAAGAATTTAATAGAAAAAGAATAAAATAGCAAATTCTAGGAAGAATGGTTGCTTCCCTGGGTGTAGTGAGTTGGACCTTTGGGTTTTCCAGCATTTTCCTACATGCTGGCGACTCCTCTGCCAGGCTGGTTTTCACCTCCCCACTGGAGCAGGGCTCTTCCCCATGCCACGGCGCCTGGGAATGCAAAACCTTACCCCACCTTACACCACCCTGATTTCCTCCAGGTCATGAAAGCTTTGCTCATAAATCAGAGAGGATTTTTCTCAGCACTTTTACCTGTGAGCCCAGCGTGGGGGTGAAGCGATATTGGTTGGGCTGAACTCATTAGCGACAAGCTGGGAGTTGGCAGCTCTGATTTATGAAGCAAAGCGACGCCGACTGAATACACAGGGGCTGGGAGGATTTTATTTGTAGCATCTGACACCTCCAGCATCCCAACGTGGAAGTGACCTGGGAAAACATGTCCATCTCCTTTGGAAGGGGCAGCTTCCAGCATCTGTCCTCCGACACGTGCCGTCAGTTCGTGGTGTTAAAATTGGTAAAGGAATGAGTTGGGTGTGTTTATGGCAGCTCCTTGGTGGGTGGTTCAGCTCATCCCAGGACCTCGGTGTGGCTATCCTGCCTGGTTGGGGATCTGCCAGGTCTTGCCCGTGCTCCTCTGCAAGGAGTTAAAAACCCCCAGCTCTTCGCGCATTTGTCACCAGAATCAATAGCGGTGGCAGCGCCGCTTTGCCGTAATTACTTTTGCTGTCGTGTCAGAGCGCGCGTCCCCCGGGTGGAGGTAAAGCCCTTTGCTGGCAGTGGGAGGAAAGGTGAGATGTCCCCCCCTGGGACGGTTCAGGCAGAGCTGCGACTTTGTGTCTGCTCCTCGCTCTGGAGAAGGCGGGGGGGTCTCATCGAGACCCCTTTTGCAGAGCAGCTTGCCCTGCGTGACTGCTTGTTCGCTGTGCTGGCAAGCAAACATTTGCTGTCTCCTGGTGTTTCACATGGGGCTCTGCTGATAGTCGGGAATGTTTTTCCCCAGCACATGCCATCTGCAGTCTCCACTGCCATTGGGCTTTGTCCGGAGGAAAGCCTTTCCCCGCGCAGCTGCTCCGTGTCCTGCAAACCAGGCGTCTCTGCGCTGCGGGGCGACGGCTGCCTGGCACCGTGGGCTTCTGCGCCATGAGCATCGTCGGCCTCGCTCTCTGCCCTCATCCCCACACCCAGCCCTCCCGGCTTCATCCCTCAAAAAAACATTTCCCTGTCCACTTTCCCCTGGTTTCAAAACTCTCTTGCTGCTCAGCCCGGGCATTTTTTTAAGCCTGATTTTCCTCCCAACTCCTTTTCCTGGCCTTGCTGAAATGAGTAGTTGCATGCTGCTCCAGCACATTTTCCAGCATGTTTCTTCCCTTTCTCTGGTCCACCCTCTTCACCGCTATCTTGGCTTTGGTGAAGACGTGAAGCTTGTCTGGGATCAAGCGGCACTTGGGGTGTCGCGGCTGGCAGGTTCACCTTCCGGCTCTGGGCAGAGCGGGGCCGTGCGGGTGTCCCTGCTGTGAAAGCAGCGGTCGTTTGGGAGTGCAAGGAAGGAGCCATCCCTCTATCAGAGAGTAAAACAATGCACTGGCTTGGATCCCTGAGCTGAGGTCTGGGGGAAAAGGGGACAAGGCCCCTGGGTGCAGGAGAGCAGGGACATGTCCCACAGTGTCTGGGCTGACTGAGGTACCTGGGGCAGACCCAGTCCCACTGAGCTTGTATCAGTTTCCAGCCAGACCTGCTCTGGTGTGGGCGATGGTGCTGGGCAGGTGCAGGTGCTGTGGATGTGCCACTGGATGCAAAGAGCAGCTCCCACCCAGGGTTCTCCATGGCTCCGTCCTCTCCCCAGTGAGCCAGATGTGGGTTATCGTACTCAGTGAAACCAGGAGGAAAGATGCTGTAGTTTCACTGCATATCAAACCTGGCAGTGCTGACAGGGATGGGGCAGAGCTGAGTGATGCTGATGGCAGATGCACCGTCCCCCCAGCTTCCTCTGCAGAAGATCCTTCGTGCATGTCACCCCTGGCTCGGTGAGCCCCCATCTTCCCCTCTCACCCCTCTGCTTGGTCCCGCTCCAGCTGTCTCGGGTTGAATTTCCACCCGAGTCATGACCCTCAAGGAGACTGTAACCTTGTTTTGGGGACTGTTGGCTGGGAGGCTCTGGCTCCGCAGCAGTAATGTTGCCTGTCCTGCACGGAGGTGTCTCACGCAGGAGCAGGTACCTCTCCTGTGTTTTGCCATCAGGTCACTGCCGGACTTGCCCACCAGTGAGGCTGGGCGCCGTGCGGGGTTTCACGCCTGCGTCTGCTTTGTGGTGATCGTCATCTGGATGTCTGGGGTGCCCTGTATCCCCGGAAGGAGGAGCGATGTCCTGGTGCAGGCACTTCCCACCCTGCACTCCCACAGAGATATGCTGCTTAGTCTTGATTTTCCAGCTCCAGCATAACAATATAATAATTATCCAGTAACAGTCACCCAGCTTCCTCGATCGTTACCACTGCAGGTGGTGTGACATTTGGCACATTGTCCTTGGCCACCAGACCCTCCGTGGCTCCTGGACCTGTTGTGGTGCCTTATCGCCGAGGCTGGACCACCATTTGCTGCTCCCATCTCCATCTTCGGGCTTGAAGAGGAGGAAAAACCTGAAGTTGGGCGCGGCTGCCGCTATGTGGGGTAGATTTGGGCCCGTGGGACAGAGCAGGGTGATGTGACAGCAAAGATGCTGTCACTGCAGCTCAGGGCTCGGTCTCCACTGCTGAGGAAACCTGCGGGGTGGGAGATGTTGGTGCTGGTCCCCTTTTGGGAACTTGCCGCTGGGAGGGATGCCAGGGAGAGGATGTGTGGCCGCACCCCCCGTGCACCTTGTGTTCCTCCTTCTGGAGACTTGGCCTCAGAGCAGGGGGCTTGTATTTTCTTCAGAGAGCTTCAGAAACCCTGTAAGTGTTCTCCAACAGAAAACCCCAAGGCTCTAATGATGTTTCTTTTGTTCCCTAGTGGATTGAGTCCAGCAAATGACAGTGGAGCCAAAAAGAAGAAAAAGAAACCCAAACGCAAGAAAGAGAAAGGAGGAGATCAGCCCGACCAGGCTCAGGACCAGCCGCTGAAGGTGACCGACCCCTTCCCAGCATCACGGCCCCACACAACAGCCAGCCCCATCCTCAGGCTCTCTGATGTAGCTTAGCACAAGGGAAGACTCTCCTGGTCCTGGTTTTAGTCACTTGGCTGCTCAAAAAACTTAAGGTGCAGAGTAGTTTCCCAGCCCAGCTCCATGTGTGGGAATTCCCGTTGCTGTGGGAAGTGTTGGCAGAGCACTCCAGGGGAAATGCGGTCCTTGGCTGCATATCCAGGCAGTTCTGCGCTGCAGCGAAAGGGTCAGACTGGCGCCTCTGAGTTATTCTTCCCAGACGCCAGCTGCCTCCTCGCAGGCAGGGGACCATCATGCTGCCACCTGCCAGCTTCCTCTCCTGCCCACAGCCGGCACAGTGAATGCGGTTTACTTCTTGGGTGACATCTGATGTTGTTGATTCTTTTACTTGATTATCATAAGAACAGCAGCTGGGTCAGAGCAGGGTCTGTCTTACCCCTCTTGGCTTTGCTTGATCCTGTCTAGCAGCCAGTACTTCAGGAAGGAGCGTGGGATGCGCAGAATTTGTCCCTGCCAGGGTGGCATGCTCCCGGTCCTGTCATCCCCTGTGGTCCTGTGGCAGGGGACACACGCAGATCTGTACATCAGCAGGGGCTGTTTCCTGTGCAATGCCAAGTTCTCATCCAAATATTTCTAATATTTTGTCCTTCTGACTGTGCAGTGCATTAAATTGGGGCTTTGCGTTTTTCAAAACAAATTCTCCAGGAACCAGCGAGGAGTTGGGGTGGTGAATTCACACAGAGCTGCCCACCCTGCCGAGGCCTGCCTGAGGAGGAGGAAAGTGCCTTCTGTCTTGACTCACCCTCTCTGCCTTGTCCTATTCCATGGTGCCCAGGGACTCCTCTGGAAGCTGCAGTTTGCAGATATGGATCCAGCTTAGATAGAGGAGGCTGAAGCAGTGAGAGAAAAGCCTCCGCAGGAAGCCCAAGTGCTTAGTGTGGGTTGACCCAGGGTGTCTGCATGGGTGTTAGTCAAGGTGAGTCAGGGAGGTTTGCTCCTGGGGCTCGCAACGCCCGCCTAACTGAAGCTTAAAGCATTTGAGGGCAGTTCATCCATCCCCTTTGACCCAGGAGTGCCTAGAAAACAGGTCAAGGTGACTGGTAAAAGGGTTCATCCATCTTGTAGAGGGTTACAAGGGGATCTAGACTGGGAAGGGAGTGTCCTGCCTGCTCTCCCCTTCCTGGCAGCACCCTGAGGCAGGGTCAGCTCCAGGTTCCCCTAAATACAGACCCAGTGGTTCAGCTTACTCATTTTGTCTTTCCACCCTCCTTTTCTGCCCTCAGGTGAACTCTTTACCTGCTGAGAGGATCCAGGAGATTCAAAAAGCCATCGAGCTCTTCTCTGTAGGTCAGGGCCCTGCCAAAACCATGGAGGAAGCCAGCAAGAGGAGCTACCAGTTCTGGGACACGCAGCCAGTGCCCAAGCTAGGTATGTACAGCCCCCCCGCCACTTCCTGCTCCCTGGAGAAGCCTTGTCATCCCCAGGCTGCCCAAAGAAGCCCAGAGGAGCTGATCTCTGGCCAGCGAGTCTCAGGACAGCCCCTCACTGCTGTCCTGTCTGGGCTTCAAAGGCATCAGTTGGCACTTGTTCACCATCAGCATTGTGGACTAAGCAGCCAGCCCTGCCACTGGAGAGCTGTGCAGGTGGCTGGGGGAAGAGAGGAGCCATTCAGGACATCCAATTTGATGCCTCCTGTGTTTGGGTGTCCCTTTATCTTTAGCCCTTGAATTGGGTCTCCCCAGCCCCCCGCACCCAAGTTTCATGCAGGGTGTTGCCAACCTTCCTCTTGCCCAGGCCTAGGGGACTGGAAGCTAACAGCTTTCCCCTTTCTGGGGGCTGAAGCTTCCCAGCTTAGTCCTTGGTGGGGATGGTAACTGGGTGTGGGACGGGGCCAGGCGATGATGGGAGCCGCTCAGGGAAGCAGGTCCATGTGCTGAGCTGCCCTGTTGTTGGTTTGCTGGGCTCACATCAGCCTCCAGCAGGGGCAGGCACTGGGGCTGAGCCAGGAGAGATGGGAGGCACAAACCTCATGAACCCCTCAAGCTGCTGTACTCATCTGAAGATGGGGAATCCCATCTCTTCCTCCCCTCTTCCCACTGCAAACAGCCTGGCTGCACTTCCCAGCCCTAGTGTTTGCTCCAGTCCTTCCTCCAGTTTGCTCTCACGCTGTCAGCCTGCGTCAGCAGCGATCTGCTGTCAGCAGTGAGGCGTTTCTCAGCATGGCAGGAGTGCTTGGCAGCTGAGCAGGTCTGAAAGGAAGAGGGGTACACTGCCACGGAGCTGCGTGGCTGGAAGGCACTCATTGCCGAGCTAATTGGAGCAAACCTGCAGCGCTCCCAGGGTGCCCAGGATTGCTTTGCTTAGTCTCGCTGCCCCTGCATCCCTCATCAAAATCCATGCACAGCTCAGAACTAGAGAATGAGTCCAAGCCTGTAGTTTCTAGATTACCTGAAGCTTGTCATGGCTTCAGATTGGCTGCTTGTCAGTTATTTCCTTTGTGGGGTTGTGTCCGACCCCTCCTGCTGCAAACACTGTGTTTGATTCCCTTTTGGTGTTGTCAGCACCAGCCTGAGGCTTTCTTTGGTCTCAAAGACTTTGCTGGGAGCGATGGTCTCGGCTTTGTGCTAGGAACATCCTAGTGTGATACCTCAGGCATGGGGCTGTGTGAGACAGCAAAGCCTGATGTTGTGTTGGAAACCTGGAGGGTGGCAGGGAACTGTGGGGTAACAGTTGTCTTCTCCACACACCAAACTGCAGTGCTCTGGCTGCAGGTCCTCGCTGGGTCCTGCTGGCTCACGGTCCTCACTCGAGCACTCTCTGGTACACGGCGCATGTGCACGAAGCTATTTAGGGTCAGGTAACAAAAATGCCGTGGGATTTTTGGGGCCGGATTTCAGAGTGGTTCACCACCTGGTCAAAACAGAGAGGGCGGCCAGGGGTGAGTGGTTCTGGAAGCTGCCCTGGGTGGGTGTGATGGGAGCAGTCCTTGCTCTGGGCTTTTTTCTCTTCCCCATTGCCTGGCAACCTTTTCAATCCCTTTTTAAGGGATTTCCTAATTAGTGCAGCATGCTTCACTTGGCAGCACTCGAGTGATGACATTCCCGAGAAAGCCAGTGCTTGAACCGACATCTCTGGGCTGAATCCGGGGCTTTAGGAGTCGGTGTTTTTCAACAGAAGTTGTCTTGTTCACTCAGCTCTTCAAGTGCAGTGGGAGGGACACCCTGGTGCTTGCCAAATGGCAGGGCCAGAGCTGGCAGGGAGAGAGCCGCTCTCCGACGGAGCGGCTCATGGCTCAAGCGGTCTCATGTCTGAGACTGTGGGGTGGGGAAGGCTGAGGCACCACGTGAGGACCTGGAGGATGTGGCTGCGGCCCTGAAGCTCTGATCAGTTTGGTCACCTCCTCTATGCTGCCGGTTCGGCTCCACCACTGTCCTGGAAGGAGTTTTGGTCCTCTGTCCCTGTGTCACAACGAACGCTTGTCCCAAAGCAGGTGGGTGAAGTGGCGATCCCTGGCTGCCTGTGGGTGGGAGACATGAGTCACGTTGGTTGCCAGATCGAGGTCTCATGTAGACTTTGTCTCAGGTAGCAGAGCATTTTCATGGCTCCCTGCTCTGTCTTGCAGGAGAAGTGGTGAACACCCACGGTCCCGTTGAGCCAGACAAAGACAATATCCGTCAGGAGCCATACACCTTGCCCCAGGGCTTCACCTGGGATGCCCTGGACCTTGGTGATAGAGGCGTGGTGAGTACAGGCAGCTCAGCACGAGTGTGTTGGGAGGGTGTCTGTGTCACACGGTTGGCAGTTCTGTGCTTGGACTGCCAGAGATGGTTTTGGGGATGGCAACATGTCCATCCCCACTCTGGGCAGCTCTCCAGCTCAGTCACGCCATCTCCTCGGAGTTAGATGGGTCTGACTTCCCCCACCATGCAGTTAGCTCTCACTATCCCGTGTTGGCCAGGTTGGCCTCATTTCTTCATGGGAGGGAAGGATGCCCATTAGAAAGACCCTCCAGACCATGACCCACCTCCCTAGAAGATGACCCGAGGGCAGCAGATCTGTCCTGCTGCTTACCCTGACCCACAGTGGCACAGGTTCAGGAGCCTGGAGCAGAGGGACATGCTGGTAGCGGGGACAGGACTGCATGCACTGCCCTTTGCTGTGGCCACACAGAAAGTGTCCAGGGTCTGGTCTGGGGGCAGTTGGGGTGTGTGATGGCTGAATCACTTTCTAACCTGCTTGGTCTCTCCCACCATAGCTGAAGGAGCTGTACACACTTCTGAACGAGAACTATGTGGAGGACGATGACAACATGTTCCGGTTCGATTACTCTCCCGAGTTCCTGCTGTGGTGAGTGGCACCACGACCGCGGAGCAGAGCGTGTTGGATGCTGGCAGCCCTGATCCCGGTGACAGTGCTGCAGCTGCCTTTTCTTATCCCATCTCGCTTCCTTCCAAAATCTCCCTTCCCCATCTGTCACCGTGTGCAGTGTCCCAGGTACACTGAGAGGGGTCTCGCCTGCTCGCCTCTCGCTTCATTGAGATATGGCCGCCTAAAACCTGATTTTTTGTCTTTTTGGTTTGATCCCTCGAGTGTTTCTAAAATTCCCACTATCTGAGGAGCTTCCCAGTGCCCCAGAGCTGTGGGATTAAGGCAGCTGCTGAGTAACGTTGCCAGCAGTAACACTGGGAGACCTGTTGCAGCAAAGCTGCTCTTACCTCGGGGCATTCACAAACTGAGGAACACACCTTTCCTCCTGTGCTGCTAGTGAGAACTGCCTTGGCTGGGGGGTGCAGGATTGCCCTGGATCCAGACGGTCCTGCCTTCTCACATCACTGTCATCCTGCAAACCCAGGGCTGTCAGGCAGCTGCAGGAGGACACGGGGCGTCCCTGGGAGGCAGGAGCAGTTACAGGGGGGGCCTTTGATGGGACGTGACTTCTGAAGTGTGTCTCTTCTCCAGGGCGCTGCGTCCGCCAGGCTGGTTGCCCCAGTGGCACTGTGGCGTCAGGGTTGTCTCCAGCAAGAAGCTGGTTGGATTTATCAGCGCGATTCCAGCCACTATCCACATCTATGACACGTGAGTGCTGCTGGCTGCCTTTGGGGCACATGGGGCTTCCTGGGTGTGCTCAGACTATGTGGTCCTCCCTGACCGACCCAGCCAGGCCTACGCCGTTCGGCCACGGAGATGCTTTGCTGCTTGGAGGAGAAGGTGGGGGATGTTTTAGGTGGACAGTGAAGCCCTGTGCAAGGACATCTTCTAGCTAGCAGCCATGAAGGCTGTTTTCCTCAACAAGTAAGGTCAGCTTAGAGCTCTGGCTTACAGAAATCCTCCAGGGCTGCATGGAGACCATTTTCCCTGGGAAAACCTGGGTAACAGCTTAAGGAAGAGTTCTCCAAACCCAGCAGTTGCCCCTTGGCCTTCCCCAAGGCTTTGATCCCCTTTCCCTTGAAGGGGCTGGAGGTAAATTGCCCAGGGCATTGGAGCCGTCCTCCTGTGTCAGGACAGTCGGGTCTCATGCTTTGCATTGTTTCTTTCCCAAGAGAGAAGAAGATGGTGGAGATAAATTTCCTGTGCGTCCACAAAAAGTTGCGCTCGAAACGGGTGGCTCCAGTTCTGATCCGCGAGATCACGCGGCGGGTTCATCTGGAGGGGATCTTTCAGGCTGTTTACACTGCAGGAGTGGTGCTGCCAAAGCCTGTGGGGACTTGCAGGTGAGTGTCTCTGGTAATCCAGAGAGATTTCAGTCTGCAGACCTTCCCTTGCCAGGATCCCCTCTGTGTTGTGTAGTGTGTGGGATTCCTGGGAAAGGAGATTGACTCCAGCCCAGGTTTCTCCTCCCCACGCCAACCTTCCAGGACAAGGGAAGTAGCTTTGCGTAAGCTGCTGGTGTATCGCGGGACAGGAGACTTTCTGCAGCACAAGCCCTTCAGGCCACCCTTGTTTTTCTCTGCGGGAGCTGGTGGCCTCTTGGCCTCTTCGCGAGCCGGCATGATGTTCTCGCTTGCCCTCTCGTGGCAGCTATGAAAACCTCGAGCCCCTCTGGCTGTCCCACTGCCCGAAAACAAGCCTCTCACCGCGGGTGTGTTTCTGCAGGTACTGGCACCGTTCCCTGAATCCTCGGAAGCTCATCGAGGTCAAATTTTCCCACCTGAGCAGGAACATGACTATGCAACGTACTATGAAGCTTTACCGGTTGCCCGAGGTGGGTGCTAGCTGGGGCTGTGAGTGGAGGCAGAGCTCGTGATTTGCTCCTCCCTGAGTAAGGGGTGAGGCTAGGAACTGGGGACACAAACATCTCGGACAAGGTCAAGTCCTCTGCCTGGAGAGCTGGGGTTTGTTTCATGTAGTAAATGACTCTGTCAAACCATTGTGCTTTATTTAATCTCTATTTATTTTTGCCTGGGTACCTGCATTATAAGGGCAAATTCTTGCAGCTAGAGGACCCTGTGAGCTTTTGTTTCATGGTGACTCATGTCCTGCCCTCCTGGTAAAACAAGGCAGATATGACAGCCTTCATCTGTCCAAACACAGCCTCAGACTGACCTTGAATTGGGTTAGTCCCTCATTCTTCAGTCAAACTGATCAGTTCTGTCACTGCAGTTGTCCTGCTGGGGAAGTTCCCCAGCTGGATATGGGAAAAAACCAAACAAAGCATTAAAATTGCCACCACCTTCCCAACCTTCTTGCCTTCCCTTTATTGGTCAGTGCTGCTCGTTTTGGTTGGAGAGTGCTGCTTTGGTTCTGGGCAGCACATGGCTCCCTCCTCCCGCCGCAGCAAAGGCACCAGCTGCTGGTTTGTAGCTACCAATTTTGGGGCAGAAACCCAGACCCAGAAGCAGTCCGTGCTCATGATCTGGGCTTTGCTGAGCGCTCCCAACCTTAGGTTAGAAACAGTCCAACTGGACATGACCTTGCCAGTTCCTTGCAGTGCCTGGGGCTCATCTCCCAGCTCCTCCCCGCTGTGGGTGAGGGCAGAGACCAGGAGAGGAGCAGAGATCTGGTGTTGTTAGTGAGTAAGAGGCCACTTCCAGCGGGACTTGACCTGGCACATGGGGCTTTGGGGCCTGCTGTGCTTCTCTGTGGTCTTTGCTATCGGTGTCACAGCTGATCGCATCCATCCTGCTGCTGGGCAAGCAGGGCTGGTGGGGATGGGCTGGGTTGCAGGACTGAAAATGAGCTGATCTAAGCAGAGAGCATCTCCTTGCTAGAGAGCCCTTGGGTGCTAAATGCCATCGTGCAAGCAGTGAAAATTATTTGTCCTACTTCCTGTAGACTCCCAAGACTCCTGGCTTGCGGCCTATGGAGCACAGGGATATCTCCGCAGTGCACAAGCTCTTGACCGAGTACCTGAAGCAGTTCCACCTGACACCTGTCATGAGCCGAGAGGAGGTGGAGCACTGGTTCTTACCTCAGGAGAACATCATTGACACCTTTGTGGTAGAGGTGAGGGGGCAGGAGCAAGGCGGGTGTTTTCCTGGGCTTCAGCCTCTCGCGGAAGGGTGTGCAGCTTCTCATGGAAGCGGTGGGAGCGATCGGGGAGGTTGGTGCTCCAGTCAGTGAGATGCACTTCTAGGGTGGGAGGTTTCAGCTACTGGAGGATGGTGCCTCTCCATCCTGGGCCGCCCCAAGTCTCGCAGGGAGTCCGCACATCACTCAGACCAGCAGAGCCCCTCTGGAGCTCTGGACAGGCTTTATCGTGTCTCTGACCTGTTGCACTGTCACTTCCAGAACGCCCCAGGGGAGGTGACAGACTTCCTGAGCTTCTACACGCTGCCCTCCACCATCATGAACCACCCGACTCACAAGAGCCTGAAAGCTGCTTACTCCTTCTACAACGTTCACACCAAGACGCCTCTCATCGACCTCATGAGCGATGCTCTGATACTCGCCAAGTCGGTGAGCAATGGCAGGGCTGGGCAGCTCACCGGACACCGGGCAGCTCACCGGCCACTGAGCAGCTCACCGAGCAGCTCACCGCGCACTGGGCATCTCCCCGGGCAGCTCACCGCGCACTGGGCCTCCCACTGGGCAGCTCACCGCGCACTGAGCAGCTCACCGGGCAGCTCACCGCTTGCCTGGCCACCCTTGGGTTTGTGGGGAGAGCCAGCCATGGGTTAGGGCATGGACCCAGGGCTGTACAAGCCCAAATCCCAGAGGATGTGCTGCCCAGGAGAAGGATGCAGGGGTAGCCTGAACCCTCTGGCTCGCATTGAGCTGAGCTCATGATGTCTACTCGTTTCTTGTGGCAAACTGCTGCTCTATGTCCGTAGCGCTTGAGCTGAGGTGGGTGCGCCGATGCTAAGCTCTTCCCCATCAGCCTCGCTTCCTTCTTCCGGGGGTGCAAAACTGGGCAGGAGAAGGGGCAGGCAGCTCGTGGGTGGGAGGAACTCCCCAGCACGTTAAGCAGGAGGAGCTGATGGCTTCATGTCTTGACTGTGCAGAAAGGATTCGACGTCTTCAATGCACTGGATCTCATGGAAAACAAAACCTTCCTGGAGAAGCTGAAGTTTGGGATTGGGGATGGGAACCTGCAGTATTACCTGTACAATTGGAAGTGTCCCAGCATGGCACCAGAGAAGGTGAGTGCCTTGGGGTGGTGGGCAGGGCACGGGAAGGGCTCTTGTCCTCGCAGCCCCCAGGGAGGGGAGTTTGCTGTCACGCCGCCTTGTCATTCCCAGGACAGCCGCAGTCTGGTGCAGTCTTTGCCCACAGTAACAGGTGAATCCAGGGTCGGCTCCTCTGTGCCTGCACGAAGGGTGTCCCTGTGGAAAAGCGCTCACCACTCGTCTCCCCAGGCTCGATTTACTCTTGGACTAGTGCAGGTTCAGAGTCCTTGAACTCGCATGCATCTGCACAGACAGTCTCTTCCCTCTGTGGAAAGGGCCAGGTGCAGAGGCAGAGGGCTGCGGGGTGACCTGTGTGACACTGGTGGTTGTGGCGGTCACCTGGGGGGTGGTTGCTGTGCCCTGTAACCCCGCACAGGACCCAGGTGTCACCATGCAGCCCTGTAGCCCGTGTCTCAGGCTGTCGTGGTGGGGCGAGATGAACAACAATCCCTCTGGAGAGAACAGACGAGCTTGAGAGCCGCTGGGTTGCTGTTGAGCGCGACCCCGTGATGGTGGGGAGCTCTGCCAGCGCTGTCACTCGTAGCATGTGTGAGGGGCTGAGCCACGGGATCGCAGGGGTGTCACCTTGTCCCTGCAGCCAGCAGCTCGCTCCCTGCCCAGCTGCTCCCACGCTGCAGCTGCAGACACCCCGTCTGCCTGCCCCGGGCCACTTCTAGGCAGCACCCACTTGGAACTGAATCTCCACCCGAAGATGTGGTTCTGTGTCTGGCTCACAGCCACCTTGGAGAGGACGGTGCTTGAGGACCAGGAGCTGCCTGGCTGCTCAGCCCTGCAGCCTGCCTGCGCTGCATCGCAACGGCTAATTAATGCCTTTGGGGCAGCTACGGAGCTGGGGTTCCCTTTTCAGAGCTTGTGAAATGTCTCTGGGGGTACAAGCCCTCGCGCCTTAAGGCAGCCCTGCCCTGCCGCTGAGCCTTTCAGAAAGACCCGGGAGGTTCCAGCAATCCCTTTTCTCACTGGGAGAGCTGGTGGGTTGGAGAGCCTGGTGCTGGGAGCCTGTCTCCGCCTGTACCCTGGCACAGAGCTGCCCGTGGCTCCAGTGGGTCACTGGCCACCAGCATGTTCCATCACGCAGCAGCTGCAGAGCACCCAGCAGTGCCTGCTGCCTGCAGAGGGGTCTGTCCCAGTATGAGGCTCTCGGGAAGAGGCTTCTCCCAAATCTGTTGTTACTAGCTTAGAAACAACCTGTTGCTGCCTTAGAAACAGCCAAACCGAGTCTGTCTTGCGGACTGCCTGGGCTCGTCACCCCCAGACATTGGCGACCTCCCCAGATCAGAGCTGGGCAGGGTCCCTGCGCCCATTCGGCCTCGAGCCCAGGGCTCTTGCTGCTCTCAGATAGCCCAGAGCTGGTGGGGAGACCCTCACGGACACACGGAGCCTGGTCTGGGGCAGAGGACGCTGGCGCTTGGGCACATCTTGACCTGCCGTCTCCGTTGGCTCCCCAGGTCGGACTGGTGTTGCAGTAAGCGAGCCCTTGCCGGGAGAGCGCGGCGCCGCTGAGGAGCCAGGCCCTGCGGAGCTGCTGCCCTCATCCTTTCCGCCAAAGCTGGACGGGCGGTGGGAGAGGTGGCACGGAACCAGCTGCC